CTCAAAACATTGCAGGCAAAGAGGAAGAGTTGGTTGTTTTGGCTCTTGTTGTGCCTGAGTGCCATTTTAACAGCAGAATACCAGTTTTGATTGGTACCAATGCACTGTTAAGACTCCATGATAAGTTATCGGAACGTGACGGTCCAGATTTCCTTCACAGACTGTGTTCCAGAGATGTAGCGTTGGTTCTCCAGCACTTGGCTAAACAAATGGATGATTGCCACATACACCCAGTGAGGTTGCACGGGAAAGTACCAGTCACCATCCCTGCCAACCACAAGTGTTGTTTAATGGGCGATGTTAGGCTGAGAAAGAACACTCCTAACGTAAGTTTTGTCCTTGAACCAAATGAACATGACAAGTTACCTGGTGGTTTATTTCTTGAAACTGCTTTGATAGACATCCCTTACAAAGCGAAGAGTAAGGTTCCAGTCGTCTTGCAGAACTTGAGTGGGCACAGTATTGTATTGCAACCAGGAAGTACACTTGCCCAGGTATGTGTAGCCCAGCACATTTCACCCCTGGCTCCTGTTTCAAATGCTTCTTCTCATGACAAGTTTGATGGAGAGAAGCTAAAGTTTAATCTTGACGAGTCACCCATCTCTGAAGAATGGAAAGAGCGCATTACCACCAAGCTTAAGTCTATTTCAGAAGTGTTTGCGGTTGATGACCTGTCTTATGGTCATACCACTGTGGTAAAGCACCACATTCGGCTGATCGACGACACGCCGTTTAAGGAACGGTCGAGGCCCATCCACCCGAATGACAGAGAAGCTGTCAAGCAACACCTCAAAGAACTGCTTAATGCAGGGGTTATTAGGGAGTCAGAGAGCCCCTACGCATCTCCAATAGTAGTCGTGCGTAAAAAGGACGGTTCAATCAGGTTGTGCGTTGATTACCGGAAGTTGAACGCACGAACCATTAGGGATGCTTATGCCCTCCCAAACATTGAGGAGACCTTCACGGCCCTTAGCGGTGCCAAGTGGTTCTCGGTCATGGACCTCAAATCAGGCTATTATCAGGTTGAGATGGCCGAGGAAGATAAAGCTAAAACTGCTTTTGTCTGTCCTCTTGGGTTTTACGAGTTTAATCGCCTGCCTCAGGGTGTTACAAATGCCCCAAGTATGTTTCAACGACTGATGGAGAAGTGTGTTGGGGATTTGAACTTGAGTGAGGTACTTGTGTTCTTGGATGATCTGATTGTGTTTTCAGACACCCTGGAGGAACATGAGGTAAGACTCATGAGGGTGCTGAACCGGTTGAGGGACTTTGGGTTGAAGCTGTCCCCAGAAAAATGTCATTTCTTTAGGCCCTCGGTGAAGTACCTTGGCCATGTGGTTGATGCCCAAGGAGTTCA